GATTAATATTCTTTTTTTATGGGGGGGTTTGAGCTCCCTCCAAAGATTCTCTAATGGTTTTAGGTCTGGAAATTGGCTAGGCCATGCCAAAACCTTGAAAGACTTCTTACAGAGCCGCTCCTTAGTTATCCTGGCTGTGTGCTTCTGGTCTTTGACATGTTGAAAGACCGAGCCTTGACAAACACAGTTAGTCGAATTATGACCAAAAAGTTCTATTTTGGTCTCCTCTGACCACATGACTTTCCCCCATGACTCTTCTTGATCATCCAATTGGTCATTGGCAAACTCAGGCCTTGACTTGTGCTGGTTTAAGCAGGGGAACCTACTGTGCCATGCGTGATTTCAAACCATGATGTCTTGGTGTATTACCAACAGTAACCTTGGAAATGGTGGTCCCAGCTCTTTTCAGCTCATTCACCAGCTACTCCCGTGTGGTTCTGGGGTGAATTTTCACCTTTCTTAGGATCATTGAGACCCCACGAGGCAAGATCTTGCATGCAGCCCCTGTCCAGCAGTCATGTTTAGCTTCTTCCATTTTCCAATGATTGCTCCAACAGTGGACCTTTTTTCGCCAGGCTGCTTGGCAATTTCCGCATAGCCTTTCCAGCCTTGTGGAGGTTTTCAATTTTGTCTCTAGTTTCTTTGGACAGCTCTTTGGTCTTGGTCATGTTAGTAGTTGGATTCTTAGTGATTGTATGGGGTGGAGAGGTGTTGTGTGCAGTTTTATGCAACAAGTGCATCTGATTTAGAATAATAAATGGAGTCAGACTTTGGAAAGGCAGACTAACATGTCTTTGAGGGTCAGAATTCTAGCTGATAGACAGGTATTCAAATATTTATTTGCAGCTGTATCATACAAATAAATAGTAAAAAGAATATACATTTCGATCTTTTCAAATTTTTTTTTGTCTCTCACAGTGGACATGTGTGATACAGCTCTCAACATCACCTATAATGACAATTTCAGACCCCTCAATGATTTCTAAGTGGGAGAAATTGCAAAATAACTGGGTGTTCAAATGTTTATTTTCCTCACTCTATATGCAGGTAAAAGAAGCAATATTGGCTGTAAGAAATGGCCCAAAATATTGACAGCAAATATTGGCTGTTATTAGTTACCAGTTATCATTTACCCAATGTCAAAATAATCTGTATCGGCCTTAAAAATCCTGTATTGGTCAATTAGATGATCTACCTGTACTGGTTGATTACAAAAATTACGGTAGTACCATTTTTAACTTCTGTAAAAGAATAAGCACATACTGCAAAGCCATGTGATCCCTTATCATCAAAATGCTGAGTGTAATTTCTTATTTCATATAAATGTTAATATAAAAGATAATAGTTCCTAGGTAAAAGCAAAAAAGCACAGTTTTTACTTTTACTTTACATGAAAATGGTGCTGACTCAGATAATGATTATTATAGCATATTATATGCATATTTTATAAATAAAGCAGTGTATCAAAGCCTAACCAACCATGATACAATAAGTGTTTTCCAACATGTGTAAAATTTGCATTTTCCATTTGTATGGTAAGAGGAAAATTATGCAGTGCCCTCCATGTCAATTTCCAGGGTAACTACAATTTCTTTAGAACAAACTTTTTTTTAAAAGAATATCACCTTTAACACAGTATTTTCTTATAGTAAATACAATATCACACTTTCTAGATATTTAAATGTCCACTATTTTTCATAAATTTAAGTCTCTTTACAGAATATGTGTGTTTTTCAATGGTCTTCCTGAAGTATGGTATTACATTTTATTTTTGTAGTGTTAAAGTTGTATAAAAAAAAGCAAAGTACTTCCTTTCGGAATCAGCTGTGGTACCAGCTGTATTGTCTCAGGCTGTTCTGCTAAAAAAAGGAATTTTAAAATCTCTTGGAGGAAGTCACAGCTGGATAAAATAATATGATCTCTTTTTTCATTCACAGTGGTGGTAGATTAACATGTTATGTGTTGTCTTCATTCAGGTCCTCTCTAGCAATTAGTAGGATTTGGTCATATCAGCCACTTAGCTATCACATCCTATGCATCCTATGGCACATCCTATGCAAGTTTTTTTCCTCTCATGATGGTTCCCAAAGTTCTTTTTTCTTCCATCTTCTATTGTCTGATTTATTGACTGAGTGCTTGATCCCTTAGGGCCATCTTCCTGATGTATTTTTGGAACTTGGATGTTTTATCTTCAATGGTGGCTCTGATGCTCGCTAGGCCTCTGCCTCCTTCATTGTACTTAGCATTTAGCCTGAGGATACTGGATTTGGGGTGAAATCCACCATGCATATTGAGCAGCTTTCATGATTTGACATCAGTGGCCTGCACTTCCTCCTTAGGCCAATTTAGTATCCCTGCAAGGTATCTAATACTGACAAGGCACAGCTGTTGATTGCCTAGACCTTCTTCTTGCCATTGAACTGACTTCTCAGAACTTGTCTTACTCTTTGCAGGTATTGGGCTGTTGCTGCTTTCCATTTGCCTGTGGTATTTCAAGGCACTTATAGCTCTCTGGGTGTGCATTCAATCCCCTTTGCGTGGATTACTATTTCTGAGTCGGTATCCATAGCCAGTCTTGTTGATTATTTGGCCAACGGGGTTCCAACCTATGCAGAACAGCAGGGGACACAGAGCATCTTCTTTGTATATTTTTTAGATTTGATGGGGATTTTCACTGTTGGCTTGAAGTTTGCCTTAAACGTGATTTTACACAACCCAATAGAGCTTTCAATGATGAATCTTTATGGTGCTGTTGAGCTTCAGGTATTCCAGAAAATTTTTTGAGGCATTGAGTCATAGGCAGTATTCAACCCATCGGTGCACAGGTTTGTTTATCCAGTTTTGCAGTCCTGGGCAACCCTTCTGTCAACTAACACTAACTCTAACGCCTAACACTAACTCTCAACCTGTTAGTGTTAGGCTCTTTTTGGGTTTTTACCATTGCCTGTCTACACCTCTCTCAGGTTTTTGTTTAATGTGCCCACTTATCATTGCTGCTGTGATTCTGACAGGAGTTTCCATGTTGTGGAGAGATAACCAACAGTTGGATGGGATTGTCCGCTTCTGGGGGTCTTTCATAATCAGGACTGTTCGGCCCTTGTTCAGTTATTTAGGGTGCGTTCCAATGTTCAGCGGTTGGGTAATTTATGATGCTAGGTCATCAGGGAGAGAATTCAGCTTCTTCAGCCAGTAGGTGCAGATTGTGTCTGGGTCCGGTGTTGTCAAGTTCTTCATACCTGAGAGTCTTTGTTGGCTATCTGCCATGGTGAAGTCCACTGGACCTTGCTTAGGAAGGTTAGCTTGGTCAGATCTTAGATCTTTTATCAACTCTGAATCATTATTATGTAATGTTTCTTTCTCCCAGATACTGTTAGTATTATTCAGTCTCGAGCCTTGGTGGGTGAAGCCAAAATATACATTTACATAACTAAAGTGAACGCAAAGTCTGCATAGGGTTTGACGACAAGTGGGTGACAAAGGTACAGATTGCTCTGATGTAAGCCGACATATTAGGTGTTGAATCATTTTCAGAAAAATTTTCGGAAAAGCTGTTTCAAAGTACAGTTAAATACAATTTAAACTTGTTTTTTTTTTATGTTTGCCATTAACAAAGAAAAAACAAAAACAAAACAAGTTTGGTGTAATAATTGGTAAGTAAATCCTGCTCCGAGTTATTTGTCAAGATAGAGCCTTCCAGCCATGAAATTGATATAAACAGCAGACTTTATATTATAATGTTGGCTAATACCTGAAAGGAAGGGAAATAACTATTATTGCTACTTTACAGCAGTTGCTGCTAATGGCTGCAATGATGATATAACATTATGGCTATGGGAGGAAGGGAGTAATACTTATGGCTTCAATTTTCATGAAATAACATCAGTTTGTAATAATGTTGTTTGCATATTTTTAACATTGATAAAGATGCTGAATTTTCTTGCAATAACCATATTACACAATTTAAACGTTCCTTGCTAGAGGCTGCATACACTTTAAAATCACATTTGAAATTTTTGACTGTAATGTCATATATTTTTTAGAAAAGCATCATAAAACCCTTCAAAAATAGAGTGGTTCCTGTAAAAGCAGTGATGCGAAACAGCAGCAGTAAAGCAAGAAAACGTCAGAAGCTTCCATTGATTTTTTTCTCTTTCTCACATAAACAGCCATATTTAGCACATTTGCTTACAAGGATGTGTGTCAAGCTTGTTTGCCTGGTGGCTATTTACTACAACTTCACCTCCAGCTTGACTCTTCCTATTAATCATGAGCGAAGAGCAAAGGCATTGTAATTCCTCATCAGACTGCTGACTGCCTGTGAGACATCAAAAGGGCTTCCACTTGTTTTCTCTTGACTGGTTTTTTAGAGCATTCTGTAGATGTTATGATGTCATCTATCTATCTTTTTTTTTTTTTTTTTTTTTTTTGCAAAATTGCGCAAAACCCAGTAAAACTTAATGCTGCTCATGTCCTAAAGATGTCAGTGAAAGTTAGCTTCAGCTGATTGCCATCAATCTCAAATCTCTCTCATGCTTCTGTTGACGAACTTGAAGGCTGCTGTTCAAATTGAACTTTTTTTTCCTGAGCCCCTGATGTGAATTTATTGAGAGGATTCAGGGAAGATACAACAAGCACATTTTTATTAGAGCTCAGCAAGCGCTGGAGAAGTAGGATAATGCATGGAGCAGTAATGCATTTCCTCCAAGCTGCCAGGACTTTATATATCCCCACCCCCCACCCACCCCGTCATGCTGCTCTGCACCGCCTGATGACTTCATGGCCCTAAAATAGGGATTTTCATCAGCAGAGACCTCCCCTGTCCACTTAACTATTAGACAAACTGTCATGTTGTTATGATTGCTTGGATTCCTTAGTAATCAATTTTCATGTTTTGTAAGTGATGAGACGTGTATGGTGGAGTTGTGTGGCTCTACAAGGCTGTGTCCTGAGAGGTTTTGCTTCCTTCATGTTGTTTTTGCTCTCTTTGCTTGATTTTGCAGGATAACTTTCCTGCTGGAAACCCAGAGCGTCTCCAAGACCTGAAGTCCACTGTTGATCTGCTTACAAGCATAACTTTCTTCAGAATGAAGGTAATGTTGACCTTTATGAACATAAAAAGTAAAAGATGAACAAAAAAATACTTTTACAAGAATGGGAAAAAAACATAAGTGTATATGCTAGATATATTAAACTCTGTTCTCACTGAGTGTTTTCGTTCCTGCGGCACTTGTTGCTGTTGAAGCTTCAGACATGCAGTTGGTAATCTAAACCAACAATTATTAGGACTAATTCCTAATAAACCAGTTTAAAATTTGACTAGTTAGCAGTAGTGCTGATTAGTTGAGTAAATTATTGGAATTAAGTTCTTGCATTTAGTATCTACAGTAATGCAGGAATGTTGTCTTTGTCAGAGGTTTGGCTGCTTCAACATCTAATCTTTGGATTGGGTTTAAACCATCACCACTAAGGTTTCAGAATCTCTTAGAAATATCAGTGGAGGTCATCTGACACAGTGTCAAAGAAGGCTTCAAATGGGCGTGTGACATTTAAAGACAGGCTATATCTATGAAATTTCCCTCTCAGCTTTATGTGTTCTTAGTAGAAGGAACATAAAAAGATGACGGACAGACAGACAGACTGTCGCTTTAGATCACCAAGGCCTTGAATTTGTGCCGTAACAAAAGCTAAGCCCTACTAAATGTAAATGCTGGCGTATTCAACAATATTGGAATTGATTTTATAAATTGGTGGATGCAGCTTGCTCAAGAAACTCCCTGTTTAAATTAAACATACTGTTACATAATATCAAAAAGTGCTCTGCTCAGGTAGATATATCAAACCTATGTGTCAGGCAATAATATTGTTAAGTTTAGCCCAGAATAATAAGAGTGCTTGCAAACTGCCTAGGGGCTGTGTACAATTTAAACACTGTAAAGAAAAAAAAGAACTGTATTAACTAGAACCTCAGTTGATAATATTATTTTGTATCGCCATAGTGCTATAACAAATAAAGAAAACCTTTTATCATAGCTGAATAACGGGGTGTTCTCTGACACAAATGAAAAAATCATGATCATTTATACATAGAATCGTTGTGGGAGTCATTTTATATCTATAAAACACGCAACATGACGCTCTGTATGATGTTGTGTCACGGTACCCACAGCTGTTGCCAAGCAACTGAGTTGCATTGGGAATAAGTGACACAAAGAATGCCTGACAAAATACATATAATAGGTTTATTAATAACATTTGTTTAATTTCACATAGCTATATTTAAATTAATTAGCTTAAGATATATATTATAGTAATTAATATGCTCTATGAGTTACATGAAAACATGACCTAAAATATTTAATTCCAAGTGGCTATATGGTAGTTTGAACAGAAACAAATAAAAATTGTAAAACAAATTTTGACAATGATTTGGATGTGAGAATCTGAAAATGATAACAAATGTAATCAAGACTCTGAGATATCATTGAGGAGATGTGGAGCATAAATTCCTCAAGATGAGCTGTTATGGTTTCATACAATGAAGGTGTTTGTGATAGCAAGTTGGATACATAGTAGAGAATATGAAGAGTGTTTAATGTTCGCTTACTGAATAGGAGGAAGTGCCTATGTGTTTATATGAAGTAATTACATGTCTCTATCCTCAGCTGTACATTTGTAAATTCTACTTTTTCTTCTGTTGCACTAGTTAATTTTGGATCTGTGCAAATATAGGTTAAAGAAAAATAAATAATACACAACATTTTAATTTCATATTATTTTTTTAGTTACTTCCCATTTATGCATACATGGATGCTTTTTCTGTGTGACAGCCCTGATGATCAATCAGGAATGACTGGAATATTTAAAGGGTTTTAATGTGTTATGAATTGTGTTTGACAGGTGCAAGAGCTCCAGAGCCCACCAAGAGCCAGCATGGTAGTGAAGGACTGCGTGAAGGCTTGCTTGGACTCGACATACAAATACATTTTTGACAACTGTCATGAACTCTACAACCAGCTTCTCGACCAGGTAATTCAGGTGTATTATGATAGCTTAACACTATGATCCCACTTTTAAATAGAAATCCATTTCACATCCTTTCAATTCATGATCTCCATGTGTTTATTACTAATGCTAATTAGAGTGAACCCTCTCTACCTTTTATGGCCTCGCTGCTTCACAGATTTGGATGGTGCATTGTGTTCTGCATTCTGATTGGCTAAACAGTCTCCACGCTTCTTCTCTACCTGTGTGTCAATAACATTAGCGTTTAATATTTTAATGTACATGTACGTAAAACAGCTTGCTAAATTTTATTTTGCTAATTTTCTTCAAAACCCATAATGTCGACAAAACATTCTGCACTGACAGAGGCACTTGTAGACGGGCCCAAAAGGGAGAGGAAGATGCTAACTATCGTAGAAAAAGTTAAACTTCGGGACATGCTATGCAGTTGTAGGTCGCCATTACGGAATACATTTATCTTTTGTTCATTCCATAAAAAAAGGATGAAAATAACATAAGGACGACAACAGCAATAAGTTTGAATAAGTATGCAAAAAGCGTGGCAACCGTCTGCAACAAGTACATGGTAAGGATGAAGTCTGCATTAGCTTTGTGGTTTGATGACTGCAGAAAAAAGAACATTATGCTGGATACCTACATTATCTGCACAAAAGCTAGAACACTGAACTGACAGCAATGACATTTATGACAGGGAACCGGAGGATGATGCAGATACTGGGCCAGCATTGAGAACTGTGCACACAGTACCAAGTGCATTTAATGCTAACAAGGGCTGGTTTGAAAAAATTTAAGACACACTTTCGACTTAAAATGTTTCTCAGAAAAAACGGCTTTCCAAATACCGCTGGAGCAGAAGCTTTAATGAACAATACATTTAAAGCTAATTGAGGAGGGGGGATATAAGCGGACGTAACCCCTGCAAAAAAAAACGAGTGCTCACTGTACCTGCAATAATTTGACAAAGTGTAGGCTGTCAACAATGACAAAGTAATATTATGCCTCAAGTCAACTGTAGACATCACTATAAATCTGTGACCACTATGAACTGTAAGGTGCACTATAGGATTGCATAAAAGTATTGTTGGAGCAAAAAACAGCTGTTCTGTAAATTTGAATCTACAGGTAGTGTGTGAATGTCGAAACTTTAATTCATATGAAATTACATGATTTCATTTTCATATTAAAATTTGGCACAAGGGTGAATGTTTTGATAATGTTCATGAGGAGCTGTTTGACTTAAGAAACCTGTAGTCTGTGACTATTTAAAATAATACTTTTATCAACTAAACTTTGATACACTAAAACACTGCAACATATGAAAGCAGCTGATATTTCACTGATTTAATCTTTTCCAGGACCATTTGATTACCCAAGGGCTCATAAACATCTCCAAGCAAATGTTGTTGTAATGTATTGGGTTTAAAAGTATGTCTTTTAGCTCAAAGTGTCATTTATTTTTATGAAAAAAATAAAATAAATTAAGAAAAGGGAGTAAAAAGGTGAAAGTTGGTTAGTTATCAGTGATGTTACATTTTACTAGGAGAACTAGAAAGGCATATTGTGTTAAACATTTAAACCTCATGATCTCTGAAGTACTGCAGTTTTCATACAAAAAAGCGCTTTTGATCATCACACAAGTCTTTTTTGTTTTGTTTTTTTACCTGAAAAAAACTGTGGAATCAAATCTTCACCTGATAATTTTATGGTTTATTTACTCAAGAAAATGGCCTCCACAGTGATGTTAATGTGTTTTTGGGTTGCAAAAGGCTGAAGTCTCTTTAAAACTTGAATAATAAGCTTCCATTGTTTAGAAAGCCTGAGGGGTTGTAAGCAATTACAGAACCTGAATGATATAGACTTGCGCTAATTACATTCTCATCCACAGCAGTTTCACAGTAGACAGGCTCTCTATCAATATTATACTGTATGAATGTAAAAAAAAAAAATTATAAATTGCCGTCATCCAACAGTAAACCTTGCTTTGACGACAAACGTTGTTCACATATACTGGGTAGCCTTGAACACAGCAGAGAAAACGCATTCCAGATTCCAATTCCCTAAGTGCTAACTGAGACTGAGTGTGGCGACATGAGTGTTGACACAATGTCCAAGCAAACGGGAAAGTATCCAGCTACAGTGAGGCATCTTGCATAATAAAACAGTTAAGATTGTTGCCCCTGATTTGAGGACTACAGGCACGGGATACAGTTTAAATATACTCAGGAAAGGACCTGGAAAGAAACTGTCAAAAGAATTGCAAAAGATCTTAGTAATGGACAAAAGGAATACTTGCCTGTATTTACTTCACCCTCTTAAAGAAATTAGAGCTAGCCAAAAGCTAAAAAGTCAAAATAGATGTAGCATATTAATGTTGCTTGAGGTCCAATGGTTAGTTTGTTGATAGAAAGGAAAAAGTGAATCCGATTTTTGGTTTTACTCTTAAAAGTGTTGGAGAGAAACACGGAGAAGTACTGTTTCTGAATAAAGGTTTGCTTTTCCCACTACTAGCACAGAACAGTAGTGCTTCTTGAAGATTTTTTTTTTTTTTTTTTTTTACATTTTAGACACAAGAAAAACAAGCAAATGTTTTATTATACTAAGCAAAAGATCAGATAAGTAGAACAGAAAAAACAAAATAAAGAAATATGTTATGGGAACAGTAATGTGAGATGGAAAACAATGCTTTTGTTAGAGAAGAGTGATGCTAAGAAGTGCTAAAAGGGAATCTCACATTACTGGAATATAAAAAAAAATAAATGAAAATGGAAAGCTTTGAGGAACTTTGTTAAATGAGGTATTATTGAAGGATCTTTGGACCTCAGAGACTATGACCCAACCAAACAGTGCTTCATACTGCATCGATAGACTTCAATAATGAATCGATTGTCTTCATACATGGATAAAAGTTACTATACTATTACATTTGCCTTTGTGTCTTATCTTTGTATAATATTAATTGTATTTCTATTAAATAAAAGACACAACCCCCTAATGTTCCAGTAAGACTGAACAACTTTACTCCATGTTCAACTGCTCACTTACCTTTAGATGCTAACTGTGGGGAGCAGCTTTGACTTCCCTGCCATCTGATTAATCAGCTAACATTATTTGACCACCTGAGAGGTATTAACTGCCTATCCGGCATTTAACTTGTATCTCCGGATCAATAGAAAAGGAGCAATAAATAAACAAGACAGTGACAAGAGTCTAACATTTCCTGTTCTGACAGCGATGCAGAGGACTGCATATTTATACCTGAATCCTCTGTCAGGGACATCAGCAGGTGTTTATTTATTAATGTTTAGACTTAAATATAATGTGTTTTTGATATCCTAATTTGTACAGCTTAAATCTGAGAGTCAGTTTTTTTGTGACAATCTGCAAAAATGTAAATCTAAGTAACTTTTTTCTTAAAATAAGCGTTTTTTTTTCTCTGGAACTCAGCAGTTAAATGAGACACTGCCAGTTGAAGAAGGCAATTTACATTTTAAAAAACATTCTCTCATTTCAAGTGCATAATATCTAATTATCCTTTTTTAAGGGTAAAAATACCAATTCCATTGGCTATTATTATTTTCCTACTCAAATTAAAAGTAATTACACTTAATTTAAGACATTTTTATTCATTTTCAGAACGTTTTTGCATGGGTTAGAGAGTTTATTGGAAGCTCTCTTCTTTAATGTTAATCTCTCCCACTCTGGGGACTTATATACACTGCAGATGAAATCAGAATACTTCTGAATGTGCTCCCGCCACCCACTAAAGTACAGTATGACACTTTAGCTGGACTTAGTGCTGCATTACTTCCTACCATAAGTGTGATTAGAGGTGGTATGTTCTTGGCTGTGTAAAGACAGCAGACAACTCAATCACCTCTGACTATGTATGTAGGCCTGCTACAAGTGAATACCAATGAGTAAAGAGCTTTAACAGCACATATTATTCTGATGTACACTCTGTTCTTTTTAATGGGGATGACGCAACCTTGAATGTCCTTTATGTGTGCATATTATTATACTAAGATGCATCCATGCACACACATACCTACAGATGTATCCACATAGCCAGAGACACTTACTGGCTGCAAAGATAATGTTGTGTTTTTTATTTTTTTAAATAAAAGCCGCTTAAGTAACCATCTGTTATGTGAGGTATAAAATGTTTTTACTTTTATTAAAAAGGGACAATACAGTTTGTTAGCACTTTATTCCATCAAGCAAATATGTAAGATTTAGTCATAAATGTTTATTTCAGTCTGTATTTTGTGGCAGTTTATGTTTATGGCAAAAAGGAGATTAAAACCAAATAAACTATATTTTTTTAAATAAAAGAATAAACTAAATTTGCATAAGAGAAAATAATAGACACAAAAAGCAAATATATTATTGATTTGTTGCTTTTTCATACTGCCTACAATTTATAGTGTACAGTATTTCAGCTAAGATTGCTAAAAGTCAACATTCCTTTGCAGTTAGTTATATTGTAGTTGTTCCTGGTGCAGTTTATATGGCGTTATTCTGTGGTAAAGTGGTCAAACTCTGCAACATTATTCTCAATAATATAATGCTTAATCATGTTTTAACAAGTGAATACTTATAGTCAAAATTCTGAAGTGATTTTTTTCTCATCATTTGAAGTCTCATCTGCAGAGTATATATTCTTATTGTGGTGATGCCTTTCATTTTCCCTTTTAATTGGTCAAACAATTATTAATACCTCAAAGATTAATCTAATTCATGTAAATTTCTAAAGCCCCTATGATTAAATCTCTCTCGCTCTCATAGGTTCAAACATAGTAAGGTTAGCATAGCTTTTGTTTAATGCTGATTTAATTGGCACATATCTTTTTATAATATCCATGTAGAAGTGGCCATCTCTTCGGTGACTGTACATCAACGGGAGCCATATTTTCATAGATTTCATCGTCATCATTACACATTACATATTATTTCCCAATTTCATGCTCATATACAACAGTAAAATTGCTATAAACAATCTAAATTGTATATACTGTTTCCAATTTCTAGATAGAGAAATATATATATATATATATATATATATAAAAAGTTGGAAGTATAGTATAAACTAAAAGGAAGTAAACAGATCTAATGGAATATTATAATTAGAAAATGTTATATAAGTATAGCATTTATGCATACAAGCAATTTGTTTTGGTTATGAGGTGCAAACGTACAAAAGTCAATATACAATTAGCATGAATAAATATGGGGATTAAAAAAATTCAGAATGAACAAATGAAAATTGTATCTGAAGAACATCATGGCAGTTATTAAACAACAGCAACAGTTGGGTTTAATTACACCATTATTAACATAAAGGATTTTGGAAGAAATGCCATTTTTGAACTTAGCTCTAATCTAATAATTTTCTTTTTTCTTTTTAGCAAAAAAAGTTAAACTTTCAACAAAATTTGTGGTTAACATCAGTTGCTTTATTCAAGTTGAGACATATAACTGAACAACAGGTATTAATATAACCTTGTGAATATGGAACTGTATTTCCCTTTTTTGTTCATAAAATTACTTACAAAATTGTGTTCAAATTATTTGCTAAATTGTGCTTTGGGTAAAAAAGTAATAATGATAAGGTATCATGAGTACCGGTAAATACAAAACAATAATAAAGTTATAGTTTCCATCTTCATATTGGGAGTAATGTTTGTAAAATACAATCAGGTTTTTTTCTTTTTTTTTTTGCTTTGATAAGTCTGAACCTTTAATAGAATGCGGTGCGAAAAGGAATAATCTCATAAGAAAGACCAAAACTGTTGGAGCAAAAACGATTCCAGATAATAGAACCTTGCTTGACTTTTGCAGAATCAGCTGTTAACTCTATCAGTGTTTCTCATTGCGGTGAGATTGAATTCTAAAGCTCGTCTTAAATGCAATGTCAGCAAAATAACGCATTAGCATAACAAGTCGAGAATCTTCAGTCAATAATTTAGAAAGTGGTTGATTATTTTGAGAATTGATGATAGTTAAAAAGATTACACGAGGATAAATGAACTCATTTTACCAGGTGCACGTGAGCATAGTTTTAATATAGTGGGGAGTATTAAATAATGCAACATAACTTATTCAAGAACTGATTTGAATACATTTAATTTTTAATGGAATCTGCTTACCACCAGAAATACAATATACCCCTGCCTGCGTCATATGAGAATGAGAGAACACACAAAGCATCCAAATCCCAGATTGTTCATAGAGTTCATTCGTGCAGAGTAGTGTGTGTAAATGCATAAAGTGTACTAATGTGCTTAGTATAGAGCGATCCATACAGTGTGGCGGAATAAATTATGTAAACTGGTGCTTTTGTTTTTTCAATGGAGTGGCTTTTTCCCTTTCTAATGTGTAACCCGCTTGTGGCACACTGACCGATTTGAATGACTTTCTAACTGTAGAGCAGTGCAATCGTGATCAGTGGGGGGGTAACAGATGGAGGTGCCAGGGAGAGGTTTTGGATACAACACTTTTTACTGTGACATTGGATAAGAGATTTCTGCCACAGCCTGTAACAAATATCCATATTTACATGTGCAAATACAATATTGCTATCAATGCTTTTTAAATGTATTGAGTTATATTCCCTTAAGATATTATCAGTGCATATTAATTTGATAACACACCATATGTCTGGGGATAAATACGAATATTTAATGCCCATTATAGCTTCTGTCACAGTGTTCACTATCTTGTTGATATTCTAAAAAAGGACTATATTCAGCTGTAATTATAAGTAAATTTATATTTACCGGTATCAGAAAATCAACTGTTGCCAGTGCTGCTTTCCTTGAAAAATGCATGCCGCTTTTGATGCACTATCATTTTTAATTATATATATGTGTATTTCGGAAAGGCTGCGTAATTCAAAGTAAGAAAGGAGAATAGGATATAATCTGTGACACCAACTTTACTTATCTTTATACCATTTATTATTTAATTCCATTTATTAAATAATGATAATTAAATTTAATTTCTGAAGTGTAGTAAATGTCAGAATAATAAACGCAGGGTTATCATTGCCCTCGAAGGAGTCAGATAATTAGCAGAATTATTCAGGTAGCAGGTCAGTTTTACTTTCATTTTCAAGCATACTGTGAGACAAAGTGAACAAACTGTATTAGCTTCTACAGCATTATACACTCCCAGATTAGCTCATGCTATTAGAGCACAACTGGTGTGATTCTTGAGTCTCTGTTGGAAACTCAGTAATCAAATTTGTTTGCCACTTTAAGCTGGATTGTAAATTGATGCTAGACTGAGAACTTCCTATGGCATCATGCTTTTTTATATCATTGAAAGGACTTAGGTATAAAGAGCAGATACAGTATGTTGTATCTCATTCAGTCAGATAGTCATATGATGATAACAGAAATATAACCTTTATGTTATACAACTTTTTATCTACAACTCTTTTTTTAATACAATATAGCATTTGAAACTAAACCTGTCATGGACAGAACAGAAAGACCCCGTATTCAGTCAAGACAGACAGTGGGATTATTCAAAACACATTTATTAAAACACTGATGGACTGCAGATCTGAAGTAGAAGCAGCTAGGGCATCTGAGACAGGAATCTCTGGAGAGAGGAAAAACACAGGTAAGTGACCACGATAATCTAACGTAAGATTATGAACGTGAGTCACTAACCTGGTTTACAAGTTCAGTTCATAGCCAGAGAACAAGCTTTTATCCAGCCGGTGGGCAGCCAACAAAATGTGGCTGCCCACAGATTTCCCAGTTTTCCAGATGCTGCAGCCCTGGAGAACATCCAGGAGTCTGAAGCCAGTTCAAACAAATGAATCAGAACAGGCACATGCAGGCTAGGAGATCCAGGAATCCAAAGACAGATCAGGAAAAGTGTTCAGACAGGAACAGGTAGGCTCAATGGTTGAGAGGTAGAACAGGTTAGGATCGGGTAATCAGAAACACGTATGCTAAAAACACTCTCACCTCTGAGATCAGACGGGAACAGGCAGGCTCAGTGGTCAAGAGGCAGAACAGGTCAGGATCAGGAAATCAGAAATTACTGGATAGAGAGAACAAGAATAATCTGGCCCTGATGAAGGGATGCAAGCACCTTACTGTAAACAGAGGCAGGAGCAGGTGGATCAGATGAGCAGTGATAAGAAACCACGCAGAATTAGACAGGTGAATTAAGCCAGTCATCAGCTCCAAGATAATGACAAAACCTTTCTGTCTCTTATTAAGGTTGTATATATACTGCATGTTTTTTTGACTATGAGAGAAATTCTATTTCTGCTTTGGTTAGGAATGCATAACTTGAACCTCTATCACACAGTATACATCCTTTGTTAAAACGTTGTGGAAAGATGCAAAGCTTAAAGGGGAACATTTTTTTTTTTTTACGTTGGCCCCTTGATTTTAAGTTATTACATCATGTTCTACTCACCCATATGAATTTTGTGTCATTTGGAGCTGTTCCGAAGATATTCGGTTTTGTTATATCCAAGTAACGTCTTCCTTTAGGCAACGAGTTAAATGCACAAACTAAACTGTTCATAAGTTATTCTTTATGGTACGCCAACATTCATAGCATGTAGGCGAATCACTGTCCCCCAGACATCCAGGGTTATATTTTTTATATTTATATCTTTTAAAAACAAGGCGTCATCTGCGCGCCGGACTGGAGTTGTGTCTGGCAGCCCGGGCCACAGGCGGCTACACTCTACCCCTTCTATTCATTCAGCTAGCTAATCTGAATTGTTCAATTCCATTTCCAGAGCGAGATCATCTGTGGTAGTAGCACTAGACATCTCACAGGCATGTGAATGAAACTAGCAGCAGTTCAGCGGACAGGATGAATGAATGGTAGCCGGCGCTCGCGGATTTTTAAGGTTTTTAACTTAAAAGTTTCAATAACGCTTTTCCACACATCTGACAGCATACTGTAACAGACACCAATGGGTTACCAACTAAAATAGACTGACACAGTTTGTATGGACCTTTAATGATTTTTGCGTGGATGAGTGTTAGAAATCTGAAACACGAACATCCATAGCTGATTTTAGGAATCCGTTATATCATTAAAATGGATTTCTAAATCCTTCATCCCAATACATGTACATAATAAAAAAAAAAAAAACATTTAGATATGTCATCATCGTTAGAGCAACTTTAATGATAGATAATGTAATAAAACTTCTTGGTGAGTAGCAATTTTAAAGGGTTTTAATCAGATTTTCAAATCAGACATACTTTAATAATCCCAGAGGGAAATTACTTACATCAATTTACCAGAAATATCCAACAATTCTTCACTTTGTATGTTAGAAAACATATTCTATGTCTGATTATTGATTATTAGTGTCTTGGAAATGAAATAGCCAGTGTTGTGTGGTGTGATCAAGTCAGATGATCTCATCTCAGCACTAGTTGTTACTGTGTTAGATTTTATACTTCTGCCTTTACTTAACTTCTTGTTATCCAACTTTTATTTTGGCAACTTACATATAAATATCAAGAGTAAAATACATGTTAATGCCTTGCAAAACACTGCAGTATCCAATACATTTCCATTAATTGTATCTCTGCTAATTCAGTGTTCAGTGAAGCACTGCTTTACCCTTTTTAATCTAAACATCCTTCTCCACAGAGCCGGAAGCAGGAGCTTCCCAGGGAAGAGCAGGGTCCTTCTATAAAGAACCTGGACTTCTGGCCAAAACTCATCACTCTTATGGTATCTGTTATCGATGAGGACCGCACAGCCTACACGCCAGTCATTAATCAGTACGTATTTCTTTATTCATATTTCACTTTCCTTATTTACAGGGTATCTTATCAAGTAATAATGCAATTTGAATTTAGTTTTTTTTTTTTTTTTTAAGAAACTTCCATTGTGTCCTTTCCTTCCTAAATATAAAAAATGCTTTTAGTATTCAGATATTTCCAAGTTTTTGTATATCATGTGGCAAATTAAAGACTTGAAATGAATAAGACAGACAAACAGCCAGCCAGACAGACAGATAGCTACATTTCTCCATTTAATCAACCTGATTTCTGACACACATACTGCATCAGTCTTCACATACAATGTATGATGAATACGCAATAGATTAAAGAAATCTGAGCTGATCCCCTGGACTCCATTCTAATATCAATCTGATGGGATAACAGCAACTGTGGGAAATAAGCTCAGTCCATAGTGACCAATCCCTATAAACCATAGGGCCAAAAGGAACATTAATTCACACTTTGACTGTTCTTAGGTACTTTGGCACCAATTTGCTCAAAACACATAACAAAATATGTTGTATTATCAAATACTAAATAATATCAAATATTAAATAACCTTGAATGATATATGTTCAGTATTATGGCTCTAAAACTAGGCGTGAATTGATATAAAAGTTTTATTTTCTGACTTTTTAAAGCTTTTATATACCTATACATATTTGAACCAATTCCAATATTGGCTTTATAGCTATAATAAATGAAGATGTCAAGACTAAATAGGTTTTATGGCCTTAATGTAATATGCACATCAACCTTTTGTTTTAAGGGGATTGGAAATCTTTAGAAATGTAATACTCCCACATTCTCCTCCAGGACATTTAACGCTGTTGGATACGCAATTTGATTAACAAATGAACTTGCTCCAAACTTTTCAAATTCTGTAAATTAGAAAAAAATCGTCCATCCTGGCATTGTAGCTCTTATGTGTACACAAATGTTGCAGCTATGACCAAATAATAGGATCTTCCAAGTCTCACTCTACTCTATGCAAACACTAACAGGGGAGGGTGGGTGGTTTAAACTACAATTTATATAAATTAAACTTATCCCGTCAACTCTCTGTTTATTTGGCTAATTTATTTTGACAACCTGATGGCACTTTGCTTTCCTTCAAGGAAGCTAAACTTTAGCATACATAAGAAAATAAATAAAAAAAAACTATGAGGACATTGCAGAAAGGAATGCAGCTGGAAACAACAGAAAAATTAGAATCCCATGCCTTTCATCTCCAGTATTCACACAACTGTAGGGCATTAAAACTGGCACAGACTAAAAAGACTTGACAGGACCTAATTGGTGACCAAAATCTTCTTAATTTCCTCACACTCTATACCATCTAACAGATTTTTTCAAAATTGCATTACACGCAGCAAGACATGAAACATTCTGACAGATGCTGTTTACAACTTGGTACTGAAAATCTAATTGAATCTTCATGCAGCTTTATAAACCTGCAAATCCATGAAGTGTTGTTGCCAGTGTGACCTGGTAGCAGGTATGTATTGTTCATCCTCTGCTTACAAAATGTTTGTGTTTCTTACTTTGTCTAACCAGCTGATCACTGATCAGGGACAGTCATATTTATGTCATATTTACGCCACCAGCTAATTTCTCATGGTAACTCTAGAAATAATCGTATACAGAAGTCAGCTATTACGGTATTTTGTTTTTTGCATTATTAAAAAAAAACACTTTTCTTGCTTCTTATCACATTTTGAATATTTGTCATTTTTATATGGTATGTAAAAAGTGATGAACAATATAAAAACATAAAATGTCAACTATTTTTTTCCCTTATAGGTACCCGTTTACGTCACACTGTTTTCCTTTTTTTTCCTCTTCTTCCTACTGATTTACGATGCTTATTAGAACTTTGTTTATGCCCTGAGCTTTTCCTCTTATACCAACTAACGACTGCTTTGCAATATTCATGTTCAGTTTCTCCATGTTTTTTTGGTCCAGCTGAAGATTGACAGGCAGTTTGAGGGTTTTCCCCTACAAATTTGCAAGTGGACATGTCGCCTTTAAATAATAGGCTCTGCAGCCAGAGGGAAATAGCTGTCAGACTGGTGCTCTCTGCTGAGAATATTTATGTGGGAACAAAGCCTCTGGATAGTATGAGCCAGTAACCGATCTGCAGAATTGATCTTATGATAGGAAGTTTAAAACAGAATGCTGCAGTTGTTTTTCAACATTAAAAGCAGAAAAATAAAACATGCAGGAATGCTTCCAGAAAGAATTTCTCCTGCAGACAAGACTTTTATCCCTCAAAACTGTGAAGAAATCCTCGCTATGTGCACTGACTTTAGATTTGTATTAATTTCCACTATAAAGCGCTTTATTGTATGCTTCATCCATAATAAACTGAGTGCGTACATGATGAGACTGAAGAAATGTAAGAAGACGGAAAAGGTTTTTGAATTCTTGATAGTAGGGAAAGAGAATAAAAACTGTTGCTTTTTGGATTATTTTGTCACAATCCACTATATATTAGAGAGGCAGCAGTTGTTTAGCAAACATTTTGATACTGTTTTAGACATTGTGTCTGGATTTTAGTTGTTTGACCTGTGCAATGCTATGCATAATTGTGAAGCTGAACAATATTTTTCAATCCCTTGTTTTACAAATGATGATGATGATGATGATGATGATGATGATGATGATGATGATGATGATGACGATGATGATGAACTTTATTGTCCCAAAGGAATTGTTTTTTGCTACATACTCCAAACTATGTGTCACACTACATTCACACTGCTATAGAAATTCCATTATAAGAAAATAAATACATAAAAGAAGCATTTTACATTACATTCACAATAAAAATCCTTTAAAATAATAAATACATAAAGACCCTACTATACAGAATCCATTATAAGATCAATAAATACATAAAAGAAACATGACAGTTTATTTTGAAATTTTCAATACCATTGCCACTATTTACTGTTTGATACTGTATATTGTTTTGATGGAAATGGAAACAAATTAGTTCTTAAAGCGGTTTAGTCTACAGGCAGGACCTGAAGGAAGAAACTGATACTATGAATAAAGAATATATGATAAAAGGATTTTCAAAAGTGATATATCCATGAGCGTTTAGAGTCTCTGAATCAATACTTTTGAATTTATATTTTGAACTCAACAATATGTTACGGTTATATCTTAGATTCTATGATCTGAAAGACAAAGTGTATGCTATTTTTTTCATCTTTAAATATCTCAATATTTGTCAGGTTTTCTGGGGTATATCTAAAAGGAAACATTTGTTGAGTCTTACCACATACTCAAAAATGAAGTGAGGTTTGGATTATGCAGTAATGCCCAAATTGGTGTCATTTATTACCACTTTTTTTGTGAAAGTTAAATTATAAGATGCATAATTCTAGAGCATCCATATTTAAATTTTAACTGGATTCAGGTTGAAATTTTGCCAAAGCAGCATCAATTTGTCTTCCAACGTGTCTTTTTATAATGTATTTACATGTATGTTTAAAAAAAAGTCCCATCTTCAAAGATTATCTGTTCAGATTAGTTTGTAAATTTTGCAGAATAAATTTTGGGGTTGGGGATTTAGTTTGAAAATGAAACAACAGAGTCTCCTGTACAAAGTAACATATTTCTAAATAAAGTCACCTTCTTCAGTGCTGTTTTGGTCATTCATAAATATCCTCCTATTACTCGGCCAAGCCACGGACAATTAAACAAATGACATCTGACATTTGAGCTTTGAATGAAAATCCATAGAAATCCAAAACACATTACTTGCCAGATCGGATTCTACCATCTCTGTCTCCCTTTAGCTTTGCAGTTTCCTCCCACACTTTTTCTCATTCTAAAGCATTCATCTTGATTTACTTTCAGCTCAACAGAGATTGAGAATGAGGGGATGGGGTTGTGATGAGGGGGGGTGGGGTGTTTGTTGGGGGGATTTAGATTGTAAGACAAACCAACCAAATCCTCATCCACATCTGTTGAGTTATTTGTTTGAAAGTCGCACCAGGACAAGACATTAGGCCATCCAGTTGAGCGTATCAATGTGTGGAAATGAGGTTGATTGGAATTTCTCTCCATCCTACCAGGTTTCCGCAGGAGCTGAATGTGGGGAAAATCAGCGCTGAGATCATGTGGAACCTGTTTGCCCAGGATATGAAGTATGCAATGGAAGGTCAGTAAAGCCGTCAATCAGTCATTACTTGCAAAACACTGTGTGTGTGTGCGTGTGTGTGTATACAAAACAGGTGGAGTAAGAGAATCAGATAAATTAGATCAACTAAATAGATGTCATTAGATGGTCAAGAATATTGTGTCAGCTAATTAGCAGCAGTGCTGCCATCTCATTTCAATTTGCCCTGTTACCATTTTAATGTGCTACTCTGCTCTGTTCCCTTTATCGGAGCTCCTGAATAGTGTTTCTGTTTTCTTGGCTGTGTCTGTATGTGGTCAGCCTTACTGCCTATCTAGATTACGCTTTCCCACCTTCCTCTTATCGATCTCTACAGAGAAAAGGAAACTTCTTTAAATCAAGATAAACACTTGATCAAAGGCGTGGGGAAAAAACTTCAGATGCTCAGCTTTTTCTGTCCTATTTTGTACCTGTGAAGTCCAGCAGCTCTCACAAGTAATTTTAGATAAGAAAAAAAAAAATGGAATCTACAAAGAATCATTAGTACCAGGGTGCTTGAAGCTTGAAGCTAGTTTACGGCTCAGTGCTTGAGAAAGGGGTGGGAGATGTGTGCTCTACATTTCAGCAAACGATAAGTGGGTCACTATTTGAAGCACTAACTTCAGCGGGTAATAGTAGGTCTGTAGTTGACTGAAAACTTTAAATTTTGCAAAAGTTTTAACAGAAATAATGTTTTTGAGATTAGACACATCTAAACAGTTTCATGATCTAGGTCTGTTAGGAATTTTTTAAATTATTTAAATTTGCCTAATGTGAGGATAATAGGAGAATTTTACAGTATGCCTGCAGATTTTAAAGCAAGTCATCCATAATAACAAGTAGATCGCTTTGGAGCTTCCCAAGTTTGGTTCCTCCTGTGCTACGTTCATCTGTTCAATCAATTCTTTGAAAGTACATCTCAAAATAATTGCCACCCTAGAACAAATAAACTTAGACAAACTATATTGTAATTTTGTACATACCGAGTGTATACAGAACAAAATTTCAATATATGCAGCTTTCAACATTGAATAAGTAGCTTACAACAGTGAAATAAAAATTACAATTCATAAAGTACAGCAGTGATCAGGATTGTAGACAGTGAGGGAGAAAAAGGAAAAACTCGTTTAAAGTCACGGTACAAAAGGCATGTTATGGACAGGTTCAGTGCAGTGCAAAAAATATAATAAATAAATATGGTGCAAAATGCAGTACAGCATTGAGTTGTGTTCTATTTAAAGGATATTATGAAAAAATCTGCCACGTTGGTAGTGCAAATATGATGTTTTCAAGTGTGATGCAGAGTTCTTGATTAGAGTTTCAGCAGTTCAACAGTCTGATGGCAGCGGGGAAAGAGCTGTTGCAGAACCTGCTGGTGCTGCATTGGATGCAGGGAGGTGTCACTGATGATGTTACAGGCTCAGGAATAGACATTATGTTGTGTAAATGGTAGCTTAATCTGGTTAAAAATAGGTGTTTGACCAAAAATGGCCATTGTTAAATTTGAAGGAAAATGTGGAGGCTGTTAAACCTGAAAACAAAATAATATAACATCCCTGCTATAAAGGCGGGCTATCAAAAATTGCTCTGCTTATTTTTTAAGCCATCTAACATACAAATAAGCTAAGCCCGGCTTTATATTAGACTGCCAGACAAACAATAGCTGTTTTTCTACACACTATACGTAAGCTCTGTATTTTGTTTCCAACTGTATGTCACAGCATGCTTTAGCTGTTATTAACAAATATAAAACCCAATTAGTTTTCTCAATCATAAGCTTAAAAAAAAATAAAAAAAATAAAACAGGGATTTTGTTTTAATATCACTTTTCCTGAAAGCAGACATTCAAAAACCAAATCTCAGATCAGCGCTGCCACTCGGAACCAGCAGATTGAGAAGTTATAACTTGGACAAAGCCACATTCACCCCTCTAGATTAAATTCTACATCAGAGAACAAAAAATGTCTGATCAGGTATCAAATTTATTTAGTTGTTTAACAATAGTTAGTTTTAGATCTTGCGTTCAAGTTGAGCTCAGACTGCTTTACTTTACACAACCGAGACACATCCAACCTTTTCAAGTTAAATACTTGTAGGTTATTTCTTTTCAGCAGCCCACAGTATAAGTGTTGTATATTGACATAAAAAAATCACTTCAAATTAAGCTAATACTTGAGTCAAAACTTTTTTGCCTTGAAGTGGAAGTGGCCTTAACAACTGGGTTATTTTGTTTTAAAGTTTTGTTGTTAAAACTCTTGCTTGAAATAAATATCACAAGAGACTTTTTCATACGGAATTACAACTGTGCTGTGATCTTCAAGATCTCAAAATTATTCGAATCTCACTGAGCTGCAGCAAGCATGGGAAATTTTATTGAGAAGCATCACATTTCTTTACAGTTTTAAAACAGGTTTTATGTACCATTTTGTTGGCCTTATCACAGTGCTAACATGAGTTATGCACCTCCATCATCAGTATCAACCTTCTTATTTTCTCAATTTCATAACTCAATATAATTTCAACCACCACCAAGAAAAACTGGAGAGCAGTGAACTTCTCCACAACTATGATTCCTTTTCCAAGGAGTGCCCACTACTTACTAATCTATTGCACAAGGGGCCTGAGAGCTGCACTGAATTTATCGGCACAGACATGGGATTCATTTAAAATTAATTAAGCCTGGACAGTGGTGTAATGTGCATAGCGGCTTCGCCACCAAATGCATTTAATCAATTTACTTTGATTGCTGCAAAAAGGCCCAAGTGTGGGCCTGATGAGGTAGCCATGGTATGAGACTAGCAAGGCCACTCGTCTAAGATAGCTTCCACTGCTGCTCTACACTCTACCAACAAACCTTCACAATGTCATGACAGATGTATGCATACACTTAACAGTTGGGGAGCTCATGTTTCATTATGCATAATGAAAAGCTTCAGCATTGTCATTGCATCCCAAAGACTTCTCTATCATTATGCACACACCATTTAAGTTCTGGCAGATTTTTTAATGTGCTTTCTCCATCTGATTAGAAAAGGAGACCTACTGTAACATCCATAAAAACAAAGTGTAGTCAGTCATTTTTTTTCTGATTTGATAGATTTTTTTATTTTTTTTTTTTGAATAGACATGGCTAAACATTTTAAGTTTATTGGCTTCTATACTGAGTTTGTACTCCTAATTTCAATCATATTTCCTGCTACAAAAACATACATACATCTTTGCTAAATTAAACCCCGCAGAGAGGATGATACTTGATGCTTTGATGTGTGTGTGGTGTAAATGGAAGAAGCTGATTCGTGGCTGGCTTTTATGTTCTTGAAATTGCTATTTAAACCAACAGGAAATGATTAGGAGAACAAAGCAAACTGTTTGTGGTTTATTATCTGCTAAGTGCTTTGTCTAAACTACAGCAATGTAACGTTTACATGTGCAAGACAGTGAAGAAGAAGCTTATTGATCCACTTCAGGCAGTGTTTTCTTTCTGTGGTTTAAATTTTAATATGCTTATGTTTGAACAGGAGAAATAATCAATATGAAACACCAGCTGCCTTTTGATGGAATTTATTGTCAGGGTTGAGTGGAGTTTTGAGGATCCAAAAGCAGAGATGAGGAGGCAGAGATGAGTTTTACTGATTTAATTTAACAGCCATGGCAACAGAGGCAAAATTCCAAAAAAAAAACAAATACGGAGAACAAAAAAAATCCAGTAACATCAGGGTGAACAAACATGGGGAGCAAGGAGACGACAAAGAAACAAAACAACCAGAAACCAGCCAATAGGAACTGCAGAGGTGCTGTATGTAAGGGGAGCAGAACAAAGGATGGGCTAACTAGCTGATATAGAGCAGATGTGAATAGAACTAACTAGAAGGGAGCCAACGGGAAAGGAACAGGCACAAGGGGGAAACAGAGAGAAACTCAAGAAATACTGAACTGAAAGAAAACACTGAATAACAAAGAAACGAAAAATAAACTTAAACAGAGTGCAAAACCCTGACATTTATGTTTTATTAATTCCAAAATCATCATGGTTGTCTTAAAGATATTTAAAAGTACATATTTTACTACCTCTGTCTGTCAACCCTTTGTAAATGTACATTTTTGTTTTACAGCTACTCTTAGCACCTGACCCCAACGCCATAACTACCAAAACGTAGTTAAATGATAATGCTATAGGTTTTTTTAGGGAGGATCCATCACACTCACCTTCTAATTCACCCTATGAGAGGGATTATGTATGGATGAGAACTGAGGGTTTCCTTCTGTGAACCCCCTTTTATACCAAAATGCTACCAATACGCCATTATACAGTAGTTGTAGGTTAGAAACACATTCAGCGGTCGGTCTGGAACACGTCAAATACGTAGATATGTGTTGGAGATAAGTTCTTGATAAGTTACGCATAAATTGTACACACGTTACTCATAGGTTTTGGATAAGCTATATGCCACAACTTATGAGTAACTTACACTTAACATATGTCAATGATCAAATAACTTACATGGAACTTATGGCCCACATATGAGCATACACTGGCATACGTCAAGGTACTTGCCGTATGTTGATGTATGCTTCCGCATGCTTCAGTGTGCTCATACCTTACACACAACGTACACATAACTTATCCAATGTATGTCAGCGTTTTTGACAGATCTTTTTCACGTTGCGCTGTCTAAATCTTTAAGGTGTGACAGGGGCTTTAGCAGGTTATGAAGAGGCTAAATTGGTCTGTTGTTGTCCAACAGTCTGATGCAGAACATGCTCAGGGTTGTCAATAATGATCTTCATTTTATTAAGAATTTTTATTTAAATAATCATCTCCTGAGGTTCAGGAAGAGTTCCTAAAACAGAGCTGGCCTCCTTTATCAGTTTAGCATATTTGAGTAATTTTCTAACAGATGATGGCAAAAGAAAACATTTTCTCTACAACAGACTTATAGAAGATATGCTGAATATTGCCACAAATAATGAAGGATTTATGTAGCATAATCTGTTCTGCCTTT